TTTCGAATTTAATGGAAATTTATAAAAATAATTAAATTCTTGTGAAAATTTTTTTTTAAAAATAATATCCAATAGAATTTTGCAAATTTATGAAAATAATTGAATTCTTCAAAAGAATTTGTTTAACAGTTTCTAGAAATAATTGAATTCTTTCGACGAATTTTAATAAAATTTTTAAGAATAATTACATTTTTCGAGGAATTTGATCAAAATTGTATTAAAAATAATTGAATTTTTGCAAAGAATTTTACTATTTATAAAAATAATTGAATACCTTTAAAAAATTTTGTTATTTCTCTAAAAAATTGAATTTTTTTCAAGCATTTTATTAAAATTTTTGAAAACAATTGAATTTTGGAGAAGAATTTTATTCTTCGAGATTTGTCTCGGAAAAAATGATTTTTTTCTCACCTATATAGAAGAATTTTATTATTTATAAAGATAATTGAAATTTAGAAGAGAATTTAAAAAAATTTTTTAACATAATTGAATTTCTGCGAAAAGTTTTAATACTTTTGAAAATAATGTAATAGTTTTTTAGAATTTTATGGAAATTTATAAAAATAATTAAATTCTTGCAAACAATTTTTTTTAAAAATTATATTCAATAGAATATTTCTATTTATGGAAATAATTGAATTTTTCAGTAGAATTTTTTTTACAGTTTCTAGAAATAATTGAATTCTTTCGACGAATTTTAATAAAATTTTTGAGAATAATTACATTTTTCTAGGAATTTAATTAAAATTGGATTAAAAATAATTGAAGTTCTGCAATGAGTTATACTATTTATGAAAATAATTGAATATATTACGAAGAAATTTTTAAAAATAATATTTATTTTTTTCTTTCTAGGAATTTAAAGTAATAGTCAGTTTTAAGTAAATATAAACACTTTAATTAGTAGTAAAAAGCAATTTTAGTCAGTCACTATATTCTAACTTAATAATTATACTGTAAGTAGTAAAAATTTTGTTAGTCAGACATATTTATTTTTCGTGTTTTCGTATTCATAATAAAATCCAATTTCAGTTTCGTTAGATAAAAATTTTTAATAAGTAGTAAAAAGCAATTTTAGTCAGACATTTCTATCCGTCTGTTTTAAGTTTAGATTTCATTACCAAAATTCAACGAAAACACTTGTGGATAGTAAAAATTAGTAGTAGAGCAAAGTTTTAGTCAGACATTGAAATATTTTAGTTAGTTTTTTACAATAATTTAAGAGTAACTTTTTTATAATTAGGATATTAAATTAATTAACGATACTTCGAGTGTTTGAAAAAAATGTTACTGATATAAGTAGTAAAGAAAATTTTTTAGTCAGACGTATTAATCTTCTAATTTTTATTATTTTAACTAGGGGCAAAATTAATATTTTTTATATCAGGGTTATTGGTAGTAAAAGCAATATTAAGACAGACGAAGTTTTTTTAAAACCATGTAAATTGTGTGTCAGTAGTAGAAATGTATTTTAGTCAGACATATTTATTTTTCTTGTTTTCGTATTCATAATAAAATCAGATTTTAGTTCAGGTAAAAGTAAAAGTGATTTTCAGTCAGACATTCCTATCCTTATATGCTTTGGTTTTATTTTCTCTACCAAATTTTTACACAAACATTTGACGATAGTAAAAATTAGTAGTGAAACAGAGTTTTAATCAGACATTGAAGTATTTTAATTAGTTTAGTTTTAGAAAAAACCAATGAATATGACGTATCATTGAAAAGAAAATAATAACTTCATTCTATTCTGAAGTCTTTTTTTTTCTTTTTTTCCTTGCTGCAAAAAGATATAATTAAAGATAAGAAAATTGTACTCAAGCACTTCCCTCAGCAAAAGGTATGAACTCACCTCTCTTGGTGATCCTAAATCCCTGAGATTCGTTCTAATGGCCGCGAAACTTGCTAAACAAACTATTCGCCCGTGTTTTGTACGTTTCGTGCCAGTTTATAGTTATGTGTGATCATATAAATTTGACTCCCAACCCTCCCCCCTCTCTCTTTGTCTCACCTCCACCCTTTCTCCCTTTTTAGCTTGTTTCTCTAGTTGCCTGTTTCTTAAACACAAAAACTCTCCTTCTAAATCTCCGCAGCCCTAAACTTTGCCACTTTTCCAAGGAAAAATATGTTTATTAATAGCGCGTTGTACCTCGTTTTATAAAACCAACTCTCCTGACACTTCAAACTTTATTGCTCTCGCCTCATTTATTATTTTGGTTCACACAACTTGCAAAAAAATTAAGAAAAAAAAATAAAATTATAAAAATTCTTTAAAATTATGCTGTAGAAATTAGAAGCATTTATCTCTAATAAGGCTTTTAATTGCGTGACGTTATGATCATCCGAAAGATTAGATCCTTAGGAGACGAAATAGAGAGAGAAAGAGGAGAGGGGGGAGAGGGTAAAAGACAAGATAGGGGAGGAGGGTGGTTAAAATGTTGAGATAGTAGTCGGTGGCATGTGTTGTTGATGAGGCGGTTAGTATTCAGCGGTGCGTTTCTGCCCCCGGAACTTTTGAAAACTAACCGAGTAAAGCTACCTTAATTCCATAAGAGAGAGAGAGAGAGAGAGAGAGAGATGAAGGGGGTTTTCGAGAGCGTCATCGTAACACCCACTTAATTACCGGATATTAGAAGGCGTTGAGAGAACGAGAAGAAGGACCGCGAAAGTCAGTAGTGAAATTCACGCCAATTGCGCTTATTTCTTCTTATCTGTTCCAAAAATCGCTCGCACGCGACTTAGTCGTTATAGAGATAAATACATTTTAGCTAAATGGAATCTTAGAGATTGTCTCTCGCACTTCCCAAAATTCTAGTCACTGAATTTTAGGAAATAGTTATCTCCATTAAATGTGTCATGAATTCTTGATGGTAGGAGCACTTTCATTTACCATTTTGTATAATATGTAGATTTTTTGGAAATTATAAGCAGCGAGTGAAATTTTGAAAATTTATTATGTCTTTGGTATTTTGGATTTTAAAGATCGTGAATTTTAGGAAATAGAACTTAAGTGTAGGAGTAGATTATATATTTCAATGCCTGACTAAAAATTACGTTTACTACTAAAAATTATAGTTAACATTCTTGTCTGTCTTAAAATTACTTTTACTACCTACTAATGACCCTGTTATACAAAATAAAAACTTTTCCTCCAGTTAATATTGTGGAAAATATAAAATTTTGTACGTCTGACTAAACATTTTCTTTACTTCTTACATCAGTAATAATTTATTTTTATTGTAAACATTCTAAGTAACTTTAGAACACGTGTCTGACTAAAATTACTTTTTACCACTAATTTAAAATTTTTATCTATGTAAACTAAAATCTGATCTTATTATGAATACCAAAACAAGAAAAATAAATATGTCTGACTAAAAGACATTTTTACTACTGACAGAAAATTTACAAGGTTTTGAAAAAACTTCGTCTGCTTTAAAATTACTTTTACTACTAATGTCCTTGTTATAAAAAATAAAAACTGTGCTTCCAGTTAATATAGTGGAGAATAGAATATAAGTACGTCTGACTAAAAATTTTCTTTACTACTTACATCAGTAACAGTTTTTTTTAACATTCCAAGTTTCTTTAAAATACTTGTCTGACTAAAATAGATTTTTAATACTAATTCAGAGTACTTATCTACAACTAAAATTGAATATTATTTTGAATTTCAAACAAGAAGGATAAATGTGTCTGACTAAAACTCATCTTTACTACTTACAAGTATCTTATAAAGTTTTCAAAAATCTTTGTCTGACTTTAAATCACTTTTACTACTAACATTACTTATGGAGGTAATTGGAAACTTAACTTCAAGTATATTTAGTAGAAATATAGTTATTTGTCTGACTAAACGATGTTCTTACTACTTACGGTATAAATTTTACATTAGAATATAAATATATTAATAAAAAAATATTTTACATTCTAAATTATAAAAATTACATTCTAAACAAATTACATTCTAAACCTAAATATAAATTGAAGAACGAAAATTGCGATAAAATAAAAGTTTCTTTTTTCGACACTTTTACTACTAACATTGCTTATGAAGGTAATTAAAAACATAATTTCAAGTATATTTAGTAGAAATATGATAGTTATTTGTCTGACTAAACGATGTTCTTACTACTTACAGTATAATTGTTACATTAGAAAATAAAAATATTTATAAAAAATATTTTATATGTCTGACTAAAAATGACTTTTACTACTTAAAAAGTCCTTATAACGCTTATTGTTTTCTACTTTTTTCTTCTTTCCTTATTTATATTCTTTTTCTTCTTTTTTCTTCTTTTATTATTCTTTTTCTATTCTTTTCTTCTCTGTAATTTTCCATACTATTCAATTAATAATAATATTAGTAATATTTAATTCAATATTGTAAAGTATAAAAATAGTTACTCTTATAACTTATTGTTGAAAAACTAATAAAAATATTTCAAATTTATTTCTAAAACTCTGTTTTACTACTAATTTTTTCTATTTTCTTCTTAAATTATTTTTTTGTTCTTTTCTTCTTTACTTATTCTTTTTCTATTCTATTATTTTCTTCTCTTTTATTTTTTATTATATTCACTCAATAATATCAGTAATATTTAATTTAATATTCTAAAATATAAAAATAGTTACTCTTAACTTATTGAAGAAAAACTAATTAAAATATGTCAATGTCTGACTAAAACTCTGTTTTACTACTAATTTTTCCTTTTTTTCTTAAATTCTTTTTCTTCTTTCTAATTCGTGTTCTATTATTTTTTTCTCTATTCCTCTTTTCTTCTTTTTTATTCTTTTTCTATTCTACTCTTCTCTTTTCTTCTTCACTTATTCGTTTTAATTCTTCTTTCCATTTTCTTCTTTTTTTTTCTTCTTCTTCTTTATTCTTTTTCTAAACTTTTTATTTATTCTTTTTTTTTACTGAAAAAAGCTCGGTCAAGAAATCCAGCTAATTAACCATCAAAAAAAGGATAACGAGTGCAAAAATTAAAAGTACTTACATGCAGGAAATTGTATTTCGTCCTCCCTTAAAAGCCGAGTCTTTGCCCCAGCGCTTTGGCAATTCAACAACCACGATTCCCAAATTACCCCAAAGTATTAATTGTGTCACAAGCTCATTAATAACCAGATGAGTGACTTCGAAAATTGGCGGATCCGTCAAATGTAGAGACTGAAAGTATAAAAATAACAAAATATAATTAAAAATTAAGCATCTAATTTTTTTTCCCCTAAAAGTTAATTTAACAATTTTTTATTTTTTTGCTAAAAAAAAAATTTCTCCCTTGAATTCTCCCAATCCCTGGTGAAAGAGCGTCGCGGGTCTTCGTTGTCTATCGATTAAAAAACTTTATAATACGATCCCCCCCACTCCCTCCCCTCCACCTCGTACCATCACAGCTTTGTTTTCCATTCTGATTTTTTATTGCTCCTTGTTTCCAACGGTATAGCAGGTGCTCCTATTCTCCAGGCGGATATTTAATTTCGCGGGGAATTTCTCTTTGGCGACGAGTTTTGAAACTTAGTACGAAGGAACATTTTCAGGTATAGGGTATCGGCGTATATCGAGAGGCAATTACTTTCTTACCCGCAGGCTCGACGTTTTTCTTTCTTATGGCGAAAAAGAAGAGGCAAAAAGAGAGGGGGGGGAGAGACAGTGTGCATCATTATTATTGAACCGTGTTCCTTGGTTCTGCAACTTTTTCTCATCCTTTTCTTTTATATGGCAGCATTATTATTGTATTATGCAAGAAGAAAATTGTCTTTTTTGGGGGGGGGGACTTGTTAAATTCTCGTTCTTATTAGAAGTTTTAATACGCAGGTCTCGAAACAGTGAAAGTATTTAAAAATACGAACTTTAGGACCAAAAATGAAAAATTACGGATCATTTAGGGACCAATTACTGATAAAAATATAACTAATTTGAGTTAAATAAACGAACATTTTACTTAAAACTAAAAATTAAATTTTTTTTACTCCATTATTTTAAAAATTTTAATAAAATTCATTGCAAAATTCAATTATTTTGAAAAATAACAATATTTATCACAAGAATTCAATTATTTTCAAATTTTTTAATAAAATTTATGCCAAGAATTCAATTATTATCAAAAATTTTTCTTAATTCAACGATTTTCAATATTCTACTATTTTACTAAAATTTCCTAAAAGAATTAAATTCTTAAACAAAAATTGTAAAAAATAAAGAATTTTATAAAAAAATTTTTAAATAAGTAAATTCTTTCGATAAAGTTTAATAAAATTTTGAATAACAATGACATTTTTCGAGAAATTCGATTAAAATTATACCTATTAAAAATAATTGAAATTTTGCAATGAGTCTCATTATTTATGAAAATAATTTTTTCGTGTTCAAACTAAAATTCTTCTATAAAGCATTGTTTTTAATAATTTTTAAAAAAGCTCTTTCAGAATTTTCAAATTCATTTCTTTACAATTCAAGTTTACAAAATTTCAATTATTCGTAAATTCTTCAATTAAATATATATTAGAAAATAAAAACTTCAAATAATATAAAAATAATTCAATTAAAATTTTTCAAAAAAATTAATTTCAAAATTCAATTACTTCTAGAAATCCACGCTATATTTCTTTTAATATTCAATTATAATCTCAACTGTTAATTGAAATTTACTTTTAAATCAATTTTTATTAGAAAATCCTACGAGAATTCAATTATTTAAATTCCTACAAAAATAAATAATTCATTGAATAATTGAACGTATAATTAAATCCTTGTTAAAAATATTATTACTTATAAAAATAATTGAATTATTGCGAAAAAATTAATTGAATTAAGGACAATTTTAGAAAATAATTGAATTTCTGCGAAGAATTTTATTTTATTTATTTTTATTTTTATTAAAATTTTTCAAAATAATTGGATTTTGGAGAAAAATATTCATTTTTTTAGGAAAATATATTAGAGAATAAAAACTTGAAATAATTTTTAAAATATAATCCGTAATTAAACTTTCCCAAAAAAATGAATTGTATAGAATTTTTAGTTAAAAATATGAAAAATTCAGATTTTCAAAAATTTTAATTTGAAACCTTTTCAAAATTCAATTATTTCTAAAAAAATTCACCCTCGAATGATTTTAATATTTATAATATTATTCTAAATAATAATTTTAAATTATTAAATATTATTATTAAATTAACAAATAATAAAATAATAAATAATAATAATATAATAATATATAATAATAATATATAATTTATTATTATTATTATTTTTATTTATTATTATTAAATTATTTAATTATTATTATTTATTTTATATTTATAATCTAAAATTTTAACTGAAACCTATTTTTAAATCAATTTTTATTAGAAAATACAACGAGAATTCAATTTTTTAAATACAAAAATAAATAATTTTGTAATTGAATAATTGAATTTTTCTCAAAATTGAATTCTTCTAAAGAATTTTATTAACAAATTTTCAAATATTTGAATATTGAAAATCGTTAAATTAAGAAAAATTTTTGATTCATAATTAAATTTTTGCCATGAATTTTATTTAAATTTATGAAAATAATTGAATTTTATTACTTTTGAAAATAATTGAATTCTTGAGAAGAATTCTATTGTTTATAAAAATAATTGAAATTTGCAATAAGTTTTATTAAAATTCCTCAAAATTATTGAATTTTGTCGAAGAATTTTGCTATTTATTTATAAAAATAATTGAAATGTTGACAACATTTTTGAAATTTTTTTGAAATTTTTTGAAAATAATTGAATTTTTGCCATGAATTTTATTAAAATTTTTGAAAATAATTAAATATTATTATTTTTGAAAATAATTGAATTTTGCAATGAATTTTATTAAAATTTCTGAAAATAATTGTATTTTGTCGAAAAATTTTACCATTTATTTATGAAGATAATTGAAATGTTGACAACATTTTTGAACATTTTTTTTTTTAGATTTTTTAAAAATAATTGAATTTCTGCGAACAATGTTATTAATTTCAAAAATAATTGAATTCTTCTCATAAATATTGTTATTTTTTAAAATAATTCAATTTTGCCAAGAATTTTATTAAAATTTTTGAAAATAATTGAAATTTTAACTAGAATTTTAAAGAAATTTTGAACATAATTGAATTTCTGCGAAGAATTTTATTACTTTTGAAAATAATTGAATTTCTGCAATCATTTGTAATTTCTCTAAAATTCTCCAAATTATATCGTACAATTTACGAACTTTTCGTTTTTTCTCAATCAAATTCCGAACTTTACGGATCTTTTTTTTTTAAAAACTGACTTTTACGGACTTGAAGCAAATTTACGGACCTTAACGGGGTTTGCGAATCTAGTTCAAGCCCTGTTAATATATTAACAAAATCCACCAATTTTTCAAGTCACTTTTTTTATTAGAAAAAATAGTAAATTTAAATATTGTTTTTTCTATAATATTTTAACTGAAAAAGAAATTTATTTGATTGAAATTAGCGATTAATTGATTATTATCAATTAAATATTTTCTTGAATCAAATAATATTTATAGAAGTGAATTAAATGGTACTTGAACCAATAATTTCAGTATTTGAAGCAAATATGAATTGAACCATTTAATTGACTCCAATAAATATTATTTGATTCAAGAAAATATTTAATTGATAATAGTCAATTAATCGGTTATTTGAATCTAATAATTTTTTTTCCAGTGTAGAAAAAACAATATTTAAATTTACTGTTTTTTCTAATAAAAGAAAGTGACTTAAAAAATTGTTGGTTTTTGTCAAATGTAGAGACTGAATGAAAAAAAAATATAGTAAACAGATTTTTGAAATCTTTCTTCTCTTTTTGAGAAGGAAAATTGATCGGTTGTGATTGAAGTTAAAGTGAAGGTTTTTCTTTCTTGTTACGATGAGTGTCTCGAAAAAGTGCGAGAGGCAAATGAAGTTTGAGCGTTTAAAAAAGTTCTCTCTCACCAATGTCGAAGTGAGAGTATTCTCTAGGGTGATGGCTTTAGCGAGTAGAAGAGATCCCGAAGAACGAAGGACTCTCGGGGTGTTAGCAACACATTTATTAAGGAGTCTGAACAGTGGCAGAAGCAGCCACCCAACTCATTTCACGTGACCCTACCAACCCTCCTCATTCACTTTCGTAGCTGTCTACTGTCCCATCCAAAGAGAGTGAGAGAGTGAGGAAAGAAAAAAGACGTCACATTGTCGACGCCTTATTAATCCGGAGGCGCGAAGGTGGGGTGGCTTTGAAGAAATTAAAAGAACCGAGAGTATAATGTGAATACATCCATTCCCCCCGCTTCAGACCCCCGGAAGAACCATTACCATTTTCGCTCCGTGCTTCCACGCTAAGTACCAGACAGATAGACATCTTGAGCCTTGTCACGCTCTTTAAAATCCGCTGTGTATATATACTGGCGTTTTCTTCGCGATCCTTTTCATTTTTAATGCCAGAGTCCTCTGGATTTTGCTCTCTTTTGCGGATAACGAAGTGGGATCGCTTTTTAAATTCTTTTTCTCTTTCTCTTTTAAGTGCCAATGAGAGACTTTTTCTTTCTGCGGCAATATGTCGGTAGACTTATGAAATTTTCACTGTTTTTCCACAAAAAGGTATAAAGGAAAACGGTGTAATTTTTGTTGCGGGTGAAATTCGCCAACTACGTGAAACTTGACGTTATAACAAATTTTTCTTAAAATTATCAAATTGATACCAAAGTGGATCAAATTGATGTCAAAAATTATCAATTTTGGATTTGATCCATATTTTTTGTTGTCAATTCGTTACAATTTAAAACTTTTAAGTTATGATAAGAATTTTCCACATAAATTCAATTATTGAAAGAAATGGAATCAAATTTCTTGTAAGAATTCAATTATTTTCATAAATAATAAAAGTTTCCATAGGATTTCAATTAATTTTTATATTATATTATAAAAATAAATATAATATATTTACTATTATATTATAATAATAAATTATTAAAAAATAACAAATATTAAATAAATTCATCGAAAAATTTACTTGTTTTAAACAATTTTTTGCAAGAATTCAATTCCATTTCACAAATAATTTTTTTTCGTATTTTTATTTTTGTTTTATATACTATTTTGCAGACTCCCTGAAGAGGAAATTTAATTTTTATATGAAAAAACCACTTGTCGAATGTAAAAAAATTTTTTACCTACTATTCCAATTACAAATAATGAAATTCTTTGCTGAAATTCAAATATTTTTAAAATCTACTATATTCATAAAATTTTTCGAAACAATTCAATTATTTAAAAAAAAAAAATGTTAAAAAATTCGTTGCAAAAATTCAATTATTTTCATAAATAATAACTTTTTCTTCAGGATTTCAATTATTTAAACAAAATGTAATAAAATTTCCCTTTCACAAATAATGAAATTCTTTGCTGAAATTCAAATATTTTCAAAATAAAATTTTCGCAGGATTTCAATTATTCAAAAAAAAAAATTGTAATAAAATTCGTTGCAAGAATTCAATTATTTTCATAAATAATACAAGTTTCCATGTAATTTCAATTATTTTTAATACAATTTTTAATGAATTCATCGAAAAATGTAATTGTTTTCAAAAATTTTTTGCAAGAATTCTATTCCATTTCACAAATAATGAAATTCATTGCTGAAATTCAAATATTTTTAAAATCTACTATATTAATAAAATTTCTCAAAAAAATTCAATAATTTTTAAGAAAATGTTAAAAAATTTATTATTTTTATTTATTATTTTTATTATTTATTATTTATAAAAAAGTATTTTCATAAATAATAAAGTTTTTGCAGAATGTCAATTATTTAAAAAAAAACGTTAAAAAATTTGTTGCAAAAATTTAATTATTTTCATAAATAATAAAATTTTCGCCGGATTTTAATTATTTAAAAGAAATTTAATAAAAACTCGTTGCAAATAATAATGAAATTCTTCACAGAATTCCAATTATTTTTACACAATTTTAAGTAAATTTTATCGAAAAATATAATTATTTTAAAAAATTTTATTAAAATTCTTTGAAAGAAATCATAATTATCAATTAGAAATTATTTTTAATAATTTTTGCAAAAGTTCCTTGAGAATTTTCAAATTTATTTGTTTACAATTTAAATTAACGAAATTTCGATGATTTGGAAATTTTTTAATTAAATTTTTTAGAAAATAAGAATCTGAAATAATTTAAAAAAAAATTCAATTGGACTTTTTCAAAAAATTAATTCTAAACCTTTTTTAAAATTCAATTATTTCTTAAAATTCAAGTTATAATGCTTTTAATATTCAATTATTATCTAAAATTTTAACTGAAATCATTTTTAAAAGAATTTTTTATTAGAAAATTCTACGAGAAAAATAATAATAATAATAATTTAATTTAAATGCAAACATAAATAATTTGCTGAATAATTGAATGTTTCTTAATATTTAATTCCCATAAAGAATTTTATAAAAAAATGTTTAAATAATTTAATTCTTTCGACGAATTTGAATAAAATTTTTAAGAATAATTACATTTTTTGATGAATTTAAATAAAATGGTATTAAAAATAATTGATATTCTAGAATAAATTTTATTATTCATGAAAATAATTTAATGTTTGCGCTTCGAATTTTATCAAACCTTTTTTTAAATAATTGAATTCTATTGAAAAATGTTATTAAAATTGAAAATAGTAGATATTGAAAATAATTGAATTGAGGAAAATTTTTGAAAATAATTGAATTTCGTAGAAGAATTGTATTATTTTAAAAAATAATTGAAATTTTTACGAGAATTTAAAAAAATTTTTGAACCTAATTGAATTTTTGCAAAGAGTTTTATTACTTTTGAAAATAATTGAATTTCTGCAATCATATAAAACTTCTCCAAAATTCAAATTTTTTAGTGTTTTTAACTAAAATTCTTCAATAAACTCCATCAATTTTAATAATTAATTAAATATATTATATTTTACAAAAATTAACTAATTTCAGAAAAATTTAAATTATTAAAATTTTTCAGAAATCTAAGTTCTTTAGAATTTCTATAATTAATTTATTCATAATTAAAATTTTTCAAATTTCCAATTTAAAACCTTTTGAAGTTCATGTATTTACGAAAATTCTACTTTTCCTGATTATTTCCTAAATTCCCTGATCTGTGGCAATCCTGAGATAAGATTTTAAAGATTTTAATAAATAATTCGTGAAACTAATTTTAAAAATCGTTTTCTGTTTCAGCAACGAGATCAGCGTTCGGTGAGTCATATCTATCTTATTATTATTGTATGTCTAAAAGAATTGTTTAAAATTTCTATCAACTTTTATTATTTTCGGAGTAAATTTTACTAACGCTCGAAGTACAGTTTAGTAATTTTTTACAAAAATTTTCTTCGAACATAAAGCAACTATTACTCGAAAAATAAAAGTCGCAAAACAGAAATGCATAGAAGTTCTAACATTTTAGATTTTACTTTGAAAACTTAAATTTTACTTTAGTAAATTTACTTTACTCGTTAAATTCTTAAAAGTAAAAAATAGTGGACTTTTTAATAAGTAAATGCAAAATACCGAATTTAGAACCTAGGATTTTCTAAAATTGATGATTACAAATCCGATGTTGGGTTTCCCACTTTCAAAATTGCGGGCGAACTTTAGAGTCGTTCCAAAATTTCGCCCGCCATATTGGATCCGCCATTTTGTAATTTATAATAACAAATATCGTTTGATATAATTCAACAGATAAACGAAAATGACGAAGGAAAAAATATGCCAATAAACGCAGTTATTATTTTTTTTTAATTTTAAATTAGTTTTTAAATTTAAATTAATATCGTAGTTTTTCTAAGGATATCAATATTGAGACAAAAAAAAGTATCAAAATAGTTGCGAAGCAACTACTTTTTTTTGTCTCAATTTGATATCCTTAGAAAAATTGTTATAGTTAATATTTAATATAGTTAATTATTAATATAATATTAATAATAATTATTATTACCAATAATAGTAAATAATTATTATTAATATTATATTATTGTTAATAATAATTTATTTTTAAAAATATAACAATAAAAAATATAATACATAAAAAATATAATAAAAATATATCATAAGAAAAAAAAATACAAGTTCGTTCTCATATTTGTAATTCCTAAGATTTTAGAGTATCTTTATATTTTTATTGATCGTGAGGAAAATACGTTTTAGCACGTGTTCAGTATAGCAGACAACAGTGAATTGCCTCGTGAAGTCAGCTGTGTGAACGCATGCGCATTTGTTTAGTTTACAGTGCACGTCACCGTTATAATCTTAAGGTTACGATTTCTCTATCATCGTTTTCTACAGCTTTTTTTTTATTCTAAGAGAAAATTGTGAATCTTCAAGTAAATTATGGGCACGGAGATTAAAACATGTTACATATATTCTGAAGATGACTCAAGACCTGCAATTTTCTTGCCAGATAATAAAGAAGTATTTGTTGGACGAAATATTGAGTCAAAAATCACTGACACACAATGTTCTAGACGCCAAGGTTAGTTTACAATATTGCACAACTTTCTCTTTTTATAAACAAAAACAAAATTATTTTAAAATGAAAATTCTACTCTCACGTCTTTTGCGCATTGGTAAGTTTTTTTCTTCTTTTTGTAATGAATTTTTTTTTTTTTTTGCTTTATTGGGGAATTAAAGTACATAACCTCGAAATGCTTAATATTTTCAGAAAAATTTTATTTATTGTACTTTTAATTTTTTATTATATATATTTATTTTTTTACAAAGATTTTAACTAATTTTATTGTATTTTTTCTATTTTTTTTTGTATTTTTTGCTTTTTTTGTATTTTTCTCTACAATTGTATAGTTAACTTTTCTTTAGATTAACAACAGTAAAAATTATTTTGTTTCTTAAAATCTAACAGTGTGGATAAATTAAAAAAAAATTACTTTACTCGGATTATTAAGGCCAGAAAAGTTTTTTAAGTAAACTAAATTTTTAATTTCTGGTTAAAAAATTTTTTGTTTGATAATTTAACACCTCAGATAAATTTTTTATAACAAAATCTTATTTTAAGAAAGTAGAATTTAAATTTAAACATCGAATAATTTTTCTTTTATTATTATCAGTGATTAACAAAATTTAATTTTAACGAAAAAGTAGAAATTTAATTTAAATTTTTCAACATCGAATAATTTTTGTTTTATTAATTTATTAAAATTATTAATTTTTATTTTATTAATTTATTGATTTATTAAAATTATTAATTTTTGTTTACGAATTTTAACGAGAAAGTAGAATTAAAATTTTTCAACATCGATTATTTTTTGTTCTATTATTATCATCAACATCATCAGTGAGACTCTTCGCAAATTATGCGGATCAAAGTGTTTCTGTGCAACAAATAGGAAATCGTTCGAGTGGTTTAAATGGTTTTAAAATTGACAAAGACGTGAAAATTGTAGCTCAACATAATGATCGTTTGGAAATTCTTTATGGAAAATATCCCTACACTATAGAATTTAATCCACCGCCAGTGAAACAAATGCTGACCTCAAAAGAAAAGAAACGTGCACACGAATCAGATTCCGAGTCCAATGATAATAATTTGAGTGAGAAGAAAATAAAGAAGGAATCTAGTCTTGACAGTAATGAGGATAGTTTGAATTTTAGTCTTCCATCCACATGTTCAAATAGTCAAGAAAATTGTTTATTAGAGACGAAAAAAAAAATTTTGAAAACAGACAAAAATTTACAACCAACAGATAAAGAAATATGGGAGGAATTTGGTAGAGGGACATGTTTAGTTTTCACCAGTAATGGAGTTATTGGTCGTTCTAAAGTAAGTTTTCTTCTTTTTCAAAACAGAGGGAAATTATTTCTTTTTTTTTTTTTTAATTTAAATTTTGAAAAAGCTCAGTTCTAAAAAACGTAAGGGTCATTTTCGCTATCGTATGTTTTGCGAAAATCACTCTTACGGTTTTCAGAATTGAGCCGTTTTTAAAATTCAAAATTCAATTCATTTTATATTCATTTTCAATAATTGATTCATTATTTATTTATTTTTTTTTATTAATTCATTTTTTGTTCATTCATCTATTTTTTATTCTTTAACTAATTTTTTATTCTTTAATTTAATTTTTAAGATTGCCGCATACGACATGGATAAAACTCTCATAAAAACAAAATCAGGACTCGAATTTCCAAAAGACGCAAACGATTGGCAATTATGGCATCACGAGGTTCCGAATAAATTAAAAAAATTACATGCCGATAATTTTAAAATTATAATATTCACAAATCAGGCTAGTTTAGGAACGGGTAAAATAAAAGTCAGTGATTTTAAGCTAAAAATCGAGAGAATTGTGAAAAAGATAGGAACTCCAATTCAGGTGGACAATTTTTTATTTTTTACTATACCAATCATCAATTACATTATTTATGAAAATCTTAATTTTAATTTTTGGATTATTTTTTAAAAAATAGGTTTTTATCGCTGTTGGTCACAGTCGTTTTAGAAAGCCTTGTACGGGAATGTGGGAACTTTTATCTAACGAAGTAGGTAAATTTATTTATTTACTTGGTGAAGAATTCATTTTTTTATTAAAAAAAAATTATTCAATGAAAAAAAATTTCTGAAAATTGTTTACAACTTAAATCCAAAGTTATTAATGATTCATAAGCATTTGAACGTTCAAATGAACGAAATATTTTTTTTTGTAAATATTTACATAGATTACTGTTTGCAGTAAAAATTAAAAACATAAATTTAACATTATCAGGGTGGTCACTTGTCAGTAAAGTTAGGGAAAAGTCAGGAAAACAAAATTTTTGTCACTAAAGTCAGGGAAATTAAAAAAAATTGAGACTTCTTTTTGACTTATTTTCAAAAATTACTAATTTTTCCACTTTTTCTCCAAACATTGAAAAAAAATACCACAATTTTTAGTAAAAAAAAGTGCAACTTATTTCGATTTTTAAAGTGTGAAAAATAACTATAAACGAATCTTTCAAAATTTATTTTTGAATCATTTTTTAAGATAATTAAATTTTACAATTTTTTTTTCAAAATTTAAAACAAAAATTTTTTTGAATAATTGAAATTTTGCAAAATTTAATTAAAAATAATTGTTCTTTTTAAGTATTATTATTACAATTATTTTTGAAAACCAACTTTTGAAGAATTTTAATTGCAAATTTTGAAAATAATTGAACTATCAAAAATTTTAATAAAAAATCTTTAAAATGTAAACTTAAAAAATGAAAATTAATCGAAAATTAGCTTCTGATTTTTAAAAAATCAATATTTTCACTATTTTTAACAAACCATATTTCCCAAAATTCAAGTACATAGAAAAAATAAGATTTTAGAATTATTTTTAACATTTTGGAAAAAAATGACGTTCAAAATTTTCAATTAAAATTCATCAAAATATTAATTTTTTTTTTTAAATTATACAAAAATTCTTTTAAGAAATTCAGTTATTTTCGAAAAAAAAATACATTTTAATATTTTAAAAACTAATTCTTAGAATTGTTTTATCAAAATTTTTTAAGATTCAATTATCTTCAAATAAAGTAAAAATATAAAAACAAAATAAAAATTTAGTTTTTTAGACTTATTAAAATTTCGGAAAAATCATGTTCTTATTTTTAATTAAAATTCTTTAAAAATTTGATTTTTTTTTCAATAATTCAATTGTTTTTACCAAATTTCAATTGTTTGGAATTTTTTTAATTGTATTTAAAAAATTATTTTCTTTCAAAAATTATTATTTAAAAATATTTTTTAATTAGTTGTAAAAATTTCTTTATTAAAATTTTTTTAAAATATTATATCTTAATAACTTTAAAAAAATCATGGTGAGTTACAATTATTATAAAAAAATTGAGTTTTTATATTTAAATAATCGAATTATTCTAGAAGAACTTTCTGAAAATTATTTAAAATAATTTATTTAGAGATGAAGTTTAGTTGAAAATTGGTTTTAATTGCAATTTTTATAAATTATTAAAATTCACAAATTTGACTGATTTTTTGTAAACTTTCATATTTTATTGTAAATAGAACTTTGTTAGGAAAAATAATTTTAATGTCAGTAAATTGTCAGTGAAATTTCAGGGATAATAAATAATAAATAAAGTAAATAAAAAATAAAAATAAATAAAATTTCTTTTCTTAGAAAATAAATTTTTAAATAACCGTATTTTGCATTAATATCAATTCGTTTTTTACAATTATTCATAAGCAACTATATTTCTATATTTTAGAATGTTAAATTAATATTATTAATATTAATATAGATTAAATTTTAAAAACTTTCCAATTAAAGTTTTAAAAAATTTGAATTTTATTTTATTTTATTTTTTATTTTATTTGAATTTAAAAATTTGAATTTTTGAGGTTTAAAAGATTTTTTTGTAACATTTTTACACACATTTTTTTCAAATTAGTTATATTTTCAAATATATAATATTTAATTGAAATACTTTCAAATTATTCAAAATTTCATGAAATTGTTTTGTAAACAAGTGGATTTTAGAAATATTTTAGTTAAAATTTCTAGAAAATAATTGAATTGAAATTTTGAAAATAATTTTAATACAGTAGTAATTCTTAAAAATTATTCGAGTTTAAAGGATTTGAAATTTGAATTTTTTTTTAATCTTCCTATGAAAAAATAATGGATAATAATTAAGTATTTATTTCAAAAAATCTATTTAATTTCTAAATGATTTATTACAATTAAATATATTCAAAAAAAATCGTATTAAAAACATATTTTGGAGTTTCAATTATTTTTAGTAACTAAAATATTTTTAAGGTTTGGGAAAAAGTCAACGTTTTGTCTAAAGATCAGGGAATTCTTTCAATGTTTCATGGAATAATTTATTTTCAGAGTTATTCTTTATGACCGGGAAAAATAAATCATGACCGTGAATTTTTTTTATGAAAAAAGTGGCCACCCTGAAAATGGAAGTTTTTAAATGGATTTAATGTTAAAATGGAAGTTTTGAAGTTGATTTGACTTTAAAATTGAAGTTTTTAAATTGATTTGATGTTAAAATGGAAGTTTGAAGTAGATTTGATTTTAAAATTGAAGTTTTGAAGTTGATTGAAGTTTAAAAATTCCGGGCGATGAAAAATATTTACATTCTTTTAATGTTTCCTTCTCGAATGTAGAAAAACGACGGAGTGTTAATAAATAAAGAGCAATCATTATTTGTCGGTGATGCGGCTGGTCGACCGGCTCACAAGGACACAAAACGAAAGAAGGATCACTCATTGGCTGATCGATTATTGGCGATGAATTTAGGTTTACAATTTCACACGCCTGAGGAGCATTTTCTTGGTCATAAACCTTCTGTCTATAATCCACCCGTTTTTCATCCTAAAGAGGAGATGAAGAAAAAAATAGAAATTTGCGATCCACCGAACGCTGAAATTACATCCAAAGAACAGGAGGTACTTTATCTATAGATTTTTTTCTCTATTTGGATATTAACCCTTTTTTTTTCTTTTCCAATTTTTAAATTAGATTATTGTCATGGTTGGATGTCCGGGTTCGGGAAAATCTCACTTTGTCAAAACTTATCTCACCGATTACAAGTACGTGAATAGAGATACTTTGGGAAGTTGGCAGAAATGTGTCGCCGAGACTGAAAGGGCTTTGGTACAGGGGAAAAGTGTTGTTGTCGATAATACAAATCCAGACGAATTGTCGCGGCAAAGATACGTTGATGTGGCCAAAAAACGAAAAGTTCAAGTCAGATGCTTCGTAATGGCGGCTAATAAGGAACATACCAAACATAATAATAAGGTTTGATTTAATGTTAATTTCTCCATAGTTTTCCGATTTTTCATCATTCAAATTTTCTACCATAAATATTTTCGAAAAATTTGGTCAATTTTTAATATTTTACAGAACTATTTTCATCTGTTCTGAAATAATTTTTAATATCATTTTGTAGTTTCGCTGTCTGACTGATCCGACGCATGAAAAAATCAGCGATATTATTATAAATTCTTACATGTGAGTAAATATGTATTTACTAAATAAGGAAATTTGTTTTAATTTATTTAAAAAACTTGTTTTAATGAAATTTAAAAAATTGTTTTAATTTATTTAAAAAATTTGTTTTAATCTATTTAAAAAGATTGTTTTAATTTATTTAAAAAAATTGTTTTAATCTATTTAAAAAATTTGTTTTAATCTAATAAAAATAAAAACGAAAAAATTCGATATAATGCTGGTTAGTAAATGAAATTCAGTGACACCGAAATTCATTTTCTCATCAGCAACATCGAATCGAAGTTGGCCTGGCGTTGCATAAGATTTGTGAAACTCCTGCTACTTCTGTGTCTTCAGCTACATACCTACTTCTTCTCAAATCTTCAACCTTACAGAAAAAACTTCAAAGTTCCAAGTTTGGAGGAGGGATTTAAAGAGGTGGTGAAAATCAATTTTGTCCCAAAGTTCCAGTCAGATGAACATCGTAAACTTTACGAAATGTATCTTCTTGAAAATTGATTTGTTTTTTTGTATTCTTCAAAATTTGTTTATAATTTTCATCTCTTCGTATATTGAAAATTTTTAATTTCTCGATTTTGTTCGTAACTTCGTATAATTGTGGAAATAAATATATGTAGTATACTGTTTGTTCATTCCTTCGTAATTATAGAAATAAATCATTTCAGTTTATTTATTTTTTCATTGTAGATTAATATAAGTGTTGTCGAACAACGAATTCTTAGACTGTTATTGTAAAATTATGAGAACGACTTAAGAAAGAGATTTTCTGCGTATTTTGTAGTAGAGATTTCTTTTTCTCTCTTGAATTATTTGTGATTTGAAACTATTACTAGAAAGTATTTTTAATAAACGATTTTTTTTTTATGAAACGCATTTGTTTATCTGTTGAATAAATTTTCTATAAATTTTTTATAAAACTCCAAAAAAAATCCCTTTGATTATAATATAAGTGATTTTTTTTTTGGAGTTTTATGGAAAATTTTTTAAATAGTTCATTTTTGTAATAACCATTTTGAATTTTTGACATTACTTTAAATTTGTAATCTTTGATTCCAGGAGTCCTTAGATTCTAAGTTCTATAAAATACCGTTTGCTATTTAAGATTTTCCATCATTTTTAAGCAGAGACAAAAAAAAACTTAAAAAAATAGGATTTTAAGTTTCGAAAAAGTTCAACAACTTTTTGAAAATCCCACTATTTTAAAATAAACATTTTTATTTTTTTTTTAAATCTGACTTTAAATTTGCAATTAATTCAGGGTTGCCACAAGTCAGGGAAATTGGGGATTTTTATTAAAGTACTGGAAAAAATTTTATTTTCGAGAAGTTACAAATAATTGCAGAAATTCAATTATTTTCAAAAGTAATAAAATTCATCGCAGTAATTCAATTAGTTATTCTGTTCAAAAATTTAAAAAAAAACTCGTTCAAATTTCAATTATCTTCAAAATTAATAAAGTTCTTCTCCAAAATTCAATTATTTTCAAAAATTCCAATAAAATTCTTGGCAAACATTTAATTATTTTCAAAAATTTTTCTCAATTCAATGATTTTCAAAATCTACTATTTTAATAAAATTTTTCAAAAAAATTCTATTGTTAAAAAAAAGGTTTTTATAAAATTCTAAGCAAACACTAAATTATTTTCATAAATAATTAAAATTTCACAGGAATTCAGCTGCTTGCAAATTTTCTATAAAATTTTTCAAAATAATTGAATTATTTTCATAAATATTTATGAAATTTATTTCATAAAATAAAAACTTTGCCTCCAGCAAATATTGTGAAAAATAGAAGATCAGTACGTCTGACTAAACATTTTCTTTACTACTTACAATTATTTCTAAAAATTTTAATAAAATTCTTGGCAAAATTTCAATTATTTTCAAAAATTTTGCTTAATTCAATGATTTTTAAAGACTTATTATTTTAATAAACTTTCCAAAAGAATTCTATTATTTAGAAAATATGTAATAAAATTCTATGTAAAAATTTAATTATATTTAAAAATTATTAAAAATTCTCCTTAAAATTTCAATTATTTTTAAAAGTAATAAAACTCTTTGCAGAAATTCAATTATGTTTAAAAATTATTAAAAATTATCGTAAAAATTTCAATTATGTCCATAACTAATAAAATTCTTCTCCAAAATTCAATTATTTTTAAAAGTAATAAAATTCTTCGTTGTAATTCAATTATTTTCGTAAATAATAAAATTCTTTTTAGGAATTCAATTATTTTCATAAATAATAAAACTCATATAGCAGAAGTTCAATTATTTTTAATACAATTTTTATCTAATTCCTAAGAAAATATAATTTCTTCTCCAAAATTCAATTTTTTCGAAAAATTTTAATAAAATTCTTGGCAAAATTCCAATTATTTTCAAAAATTTTCCTTAGTTCAATGATTTTCAATGACCTATTATTTTAATAAAATTTTCCAAAAGAATTCAATTATTTAAAAAAACTGTAATAAAATTCTATATGCAAAAATTTAATTATGTTTAAAAATTATTTTAAATTCTCCTCAAAATTTCAATTATTTTTATAAATAATTAAATTGTTCTCCACAAATCAATTATATTTAAAAATTTTAATAAAGTTCTACGCAAACTTTTAATTATTATTAATTATTTAATTATTAAAATTCGTCGAAAGAATTCAATTATTTCTAGAAACTGTAAAAAAATTCTTCTCAAGAATTCAATTATTCCTATAAATAGCAAAATTCTTCAGATTTACTAAATTCTTTTAAATATTATTTTTATAAAAAATTCAATTATATTCAATTATCTTTAAAAATTTTTTAAATTCTCCTTAAAATTTCAATTATTTTTATAAATAATTAAATTCTTCTTCACAATTTAATTATGTATTCTCAAAAATTTTAATAAAATTCTACGCAAACATTTAATTATTTTAAAAAATAATATTCTTTAGAAGGATTCAAATACTTTTATAATCAGTAAAATTCTTTGCAGAAATTAAATTAGTATCAAATTATCAATACATTTTAATAAAATTGAATTAATCAAATTTTCAATTCTAATTACGAACAAACAAGATTATTTTAAAAAATAGAAAAAATTCTTTGTTTAATTCAATTATTTTCCAAATTTTTAACTAAAATTCTTTAAAAAAAACATTATTTTAAAAAAATTTTAAGAAACTCGTCAAAAGAAATTCAAATCATAAAAACTGGAATAAAAATTTTGGAAGCAATTTGTAGTTTTATTTTTATTCGAAATCAAATAAATTTAAATTTGATGAGAATAAAAAGCGGAAAAAATTAGGACAAAGCCGGGAATTTTGTTGAATGAAAATAGTTGACACCCTGATTATAATTTCCAATTATAATATCAAAATACATGAGGATTAATCAAAACAGTAAATCTAAATAAAAATTGATTGCTAATTCTTTTAAAAGTTATCGTGACCGTGGATTATAGTTTAGAATAAAGCAGAGAGTAAGAAGAATGTCTTTTCTCCATATATAAGAAGAGGGTGAATGTTTATAATGCACATAAATGTAGCAAATGTGGAGGAGGACGTTAGTGAAATAATGCAAAGCAAACTCACGTTACGTTCTTCTGAGATATAGTCCAGCATTTGTTCATATTAAGTTTGCCGTCAAGTCGTGAGCTTTTGAGACCCGGATATGGGGGTAGGTGTTGGAAAATTATACAACCTTAGCATCAGCCGTTATTATTAGTCACCCTTTCCCCCTCCCACACTCCCCTTCGCATTCCAGACTTTATTTGTGTAGATCTCGAGCACCCGTTATATTGCCATTCATCAACTGACTACGTACGCGCAATTTTGCGTTACAATTTCTCCTCTCTCACCCTCTTTCTCGCTCACGTATTAAAACCCATTAGAACACGTCTTGGTGGTTATGGTATTTCACGAATTTTCACGTAACACACCCTGTAACCAGAATATTGTTCCCTGGTTACTGGGAAAACAGTCATAGATAATAATAGAATAGCAAATCGTAATGAGAACAATCCTGGAAACGCGACGGTAATCATAATAATAATTAACGTTGTTATCATCAGAGTGTGTATGTATGAATAGGAAAGGGTTTAGTGGAAAATTGGTTTAGGGGAATGAAAAATTAAGAATTAGGTGTAATGTTACTTTTTTGCTACTACACTATTTTTTACTATTCTAAAATTTCTACTATTTTTTCTTTTCTACTCTTGTTATGTTTGGTACTATTGTTATTTTTGGTACACTATTTTTCTACTATTGTCATGTTCGTACTATTATTATTTTTGGTATGCTATATATTTTTTAAACTTTCCTCAATTCAATTAATCTTCATATCTACTACTTTAATAAAAATTTCCAAAAGAATTCAATTAGTTAATAAAAATTCCCAAAATAATTCAATTAGTTAAAAAAAAATTTTAATAAAATTCTACCTAAACATTTCAGTATTTTCACTTTATTTACTGTATTTATTTTCACTGTATTTCAGTATTTTCACTGGAATTTAATTGTTTACAAATTATTATTCAATTACTTTTTATAAATAATAACATTTTTTACAGGGATTCAATTATTCTCATAAATAATAATACTCAATGCTGAATTACAATTATTTTTAATACAATTTTAATGGAATTTCTCGAAAAATATATAACTATTCATAAAAATTTTATTAAATTTCAGCAAAGAAATGCAATTATTGTAAAAACTTTTGCTACAATTCATTTATTGCAAATATTACAATTAGAGTATTATTTTAAATATATTTTTAATTAAATATCTTCAAAGAAATAAATTATTTTCAAATAAATTTTAATAAAATTCTTCGTAGAAATTAAATTAATTTCAAAAATTTGTCAATATTCAATTATTTATTCAATGTCTACTATTTTAATGAAATTTCACAAAAGAGTTCAATTATTTAAAACGAAATTTTAATAAAATTCGTCTCAAGTATTCAATTATTTTCGAAAGTAAAATAAATTCTTCCCAAAAATCCAATTCTGTTAAAAAATTTACAAAATTTCAATTATCTTAATAAGTAATAAAATTTTTCTCCGAAATTCAATTATTTTCAAAAATGTTCATAAAATTATTGGCAAAATTTCAATTATTTTTAATAAAATTTTAATCGAATTTCTCGAAAAAGAAATTATTTCTTAAAAATTTTATTGAAATTTGTCAAGAGAATTGAATTATTTAAAAATTTGTTGGTAAAATTCTTTATGAAAATTCAATTTTAAGAAACATTCAATTATTTAATAAAATATTTAATTTAATTATTAAAAGCAATGCATTTGTAGAAGAATTTTAGTTAAAAACAGGAAAAAAAATTTAATTCTGCAAAAATTACTACCAATTATTGCAGAAATTCAATTATTTTTAAAAGTAATAAAATTCAATTATTTTCACAAATAATAAAACTGATCGCAGAATTTCAATTATTTTTAATACAATTTTAAACGAATTTCTAGAAAAATGTAATTATTCCTAAAAATTTTATTATAATTTGACGAAAGAATTAAATTTCTTAAAAATTTAATAATAAAATTTTTGTATGGGAATTGAATTTTAAGAAACATTCAATTCTTGTTCATTAAATTATTTATTTTTGTATTTAAATAATTTAATTCTAAGAGAATTTTCAGATAAAAATCATTATTTAAAAACTAATTTTAGTCAAAATTGTAGATAATAATTGATGATTAATTGAAGAATTATCGAATAATCGAAATTTCGTAAAATTAAATTTTAAACAAAAAGATTTGAAAATTGTCAAGGACTTTTTGTAAAAAATATTTAAAATATTTGATAATTGATTTCTTTCCAGGAATTTTAATAAAATTTTTGAAACTACTTACATTTTT